GCAGGCCCTATGAGGAGAAGCTAAGGGACCTGAACCTGTTCAGCCTCCACAAGAGAAGGCTGAGGGGGGATCTAGTGGCCTGTTACAAACTAGTCAGAGGGGACCAGCAGGCATTGAGGGAGTCTCTGTTCCCCCAAGCACAACCAGGAGTGACAAGAAATAACAGTCACAAGCTGGCAGAGGGTAGATTCAGACTAGACATCAGGAGGTGCTACTTCAGTCAGGGAGGCTAGGACCTGGAACCAACTTCCAAGTGAAGTGGTGCTGGCTCCTACCCTGGGGGTCTTTAAGAGGAGGTTAGATGAACACCTTGCTGGGGTCGTTTGACCCCAGTACTTTTTCCTGACATGGCAGGGGGTCGGACTTGATGATCTGCTCAAGTCCCTTCTGACCCTGCCAACTATGAAACTATGAAAGATATGCTGTGTGAGACTTGTAACAGAGCACAAGGTGCTCTGTTACTATCAGGGGCCTGAGCGGCAGCCAGGCAGCCACAGCTGGCTGCAAGTCTAATCAAGCCAAGCTGGGCTCTGCATTGCAGAGCTGGCAGCAGTTTGCTGCCAAGAGCCAGAGGGTCAGCACCAGCTGAGTTCCTGCTCAGCACCACTTGGAAGTAAGGGAGGAGCTATGGGAGTGGCTGGAGACTCCCGGTCCTGGGCAGGACCTGAAACTTCACCCTGCCGGGGAAGGGTGGCCTGGTGGAGCTACCTGTGGCAAGGTAGCTTCCCAGAAATACCAGGCCAGCTACCTCCCCGGTGAAAGGTGGATAGGGGCACCTGAAAATCCCAGCCTGCATATCCTTGGTGGGTTGTCATCCAAGACAGAGGGAGCCCAGGCACACAGGAGAGCCTGAGCACGTTAGGGAGCCAGGAATTAGTATCCGGGGAGGTGGAGCCCTGAGCCCTTGGGAGCCATTAGGGAAGCTCCCAGGAGAAGGGATACGGGGTAACTTAGAGAATGTAGTGGGACGGGGCTTGGAGCCCTAGTCCCCGTTGTGAGGGGCTTGCAGCCTGTAGTAAGGTGGTCTGGAGCCCAGAGACACAGAGAGCAGTGTGATGCCCAGGGACAGGACTTAGAGCCCGAGGATGGGGCTTAGAGCCGGGAGAAGCTTATGGCCCAGGGACAGGGCTTGGAGCCTGAGGACAGGGCCTAGAGCCTAGGGAAGGGGCTAGTAGGCCTAGGGAAGGGGCTGGGAGCCCAATTACTAGTGAGATAATGATAAGGCTGGGTGTTAGGCCAGGAAACATCTCTGAGGCATGGGACACGTTAAGGGACGGTTGGAGTGTATATAGAGGCCCTTGTGATCAGGGCAGGTAAAGGGCAGCCTCCTGCCTGATTAAGATCAATCAAACAATCAGGAACATCAAGGCATGGCAGAAGAGATGGGTGGGTGGTCTGCCCAGAAGCAAGTGGGCAGGCATACATTGAGAGCAGCACAGGGACACCTATATGTTAGACCCCAAAAGATCAATGCTGAATCTTTCTCTTTATTTCTTATTCTTCTACAAGGTCAGGCATAGACTGCACCCCATAAGAAATTCCTATCAGTCAACATGGTAGCAGTCTGCAAATTTGAAAATATGTTGCTGCCTTATGAATGTCACATAGTACTTTCAATTCTACTTTCAAAAGTCATTTTAACACCAAAAATCAATCTTGTTGTTTTCTATTAATTTTTGTCTAGTTTGGTTTCTCAATGGAATTTTGTTTAGATTTTCCTAATGAGAATGGTTCCTGACTTTTTAATTAAAATCTTTGTTAAAAAGTATGGAATATATATAATATCTTACCAACTCCCCATTTAGTCGAAGAGCTTCTGCAAGTTCTAGGTATATGGATACCTGTTCACTGGTTGTCACACGGGTACCATGGACTTTTTTAATTTCACCTTTCTTCATAAAAGGTAAATTGATAATCATTTTTAAAATTTTGATGGCTTCTGGATGATCTCCTGCTTTATTATTTGCTCTAGCCTTGATGAAGTGATATAGTGGATAATCACGAACCTGGAAAAAGTAGTAAGAGCATGTTTTATGATGAAGGGAGAAATTCAGATACTTTACTACTAGAACATGCTCCTAAAATAATTACTTAATCAAATATTAAAACTCAATTCTCAATTGCTTTTTGATGTGAAACCATTACTGTGGAATTTTCAAAGTGCATTGGAAAAGTGAACAGTTTTTTCAGATACAGAAAAATTGCTCTCAAATAAAAAAAATATTAAATTTGAAAGTAAAGCAAAGAAGGTATCTCCAGACCAAAAATGTTTTAAACATGCCTACTAGAAGGATACTCATTCTTCCAGAGGGGAAAGGGCATCACCAGAAAAACCAGGAGTAATGGCCTCAAACTCCTGGAAGATCCATTCAGGCTCAACATTAAGAAACTATGAATCTATGAAAAAATGACCACTCTCAGGGCATAAGACTATATTCCTTATAATATCTCTTACCCTACCTCTAGTGTGGTGACAATAGACCCCCCAAACAAATTGCTGTTTTGGGAATATCAGCTTTTCTGAGAGCATAAATATACATGCAGAAGTAAAAAAACAGGATGAGGATGTATCTGTGTGTGTCAGTGCCTAGTGCCAGGATCGGTTTATATGCATTTTCACTTCTGCTGTATGTAAATGACTTGACTGTACTGTCCAAAGGGCAGATCCAGTTTGGTAAAAGAGACTTCTGCACTTAATTGTTTTGCCCAAGAACCATAATCCCAAATGACCAGGTGCAGGTGCCTGGAATCCCTGGAATATAGTCAATGGTGAGGCTTAGATGCCTCTGAAAAGAGATTCTGAGAGGTGGAAGTTGTCTAGGACTATTACATAGGAAATCTAAGGTAAGCTATAGTTAAGCTAAGGCTCTGAAAAGGAGCTTGGGAAAAGCAGGCTTCACTGGCCACTGAATGGTTTTACAGGTTTCCCTTGCCAACCGCTGGGGTTAGGTTCCTGAAAGTTCCCATGGTTGGCAAAACCGTGCTTGGTAAGACAAAAGGCTTATGGGAAAATGGCAGGTGGTGGGATCATGCACAGCCACAGAAAACCATGGTTACTCAAAACTGTATACCATGCTAGCCAAAATGGTATATAGAATATTAAGTGTGGATACTCAAAACTGTGGTTGGCAAAACCGTGATTGGCAAGGGAAACCTGTATAAGAAAGGTAACAAATAAAAGCACACTAATGAGCAAAGGAGGTGATCCAAAGAAGACACTAGCTAAATGACTTGAGAAGTAATGTAAAAAGTAAGAACCCATTAATAAGGAAAGAATCTATTCTGAGAAGGGAGAAGCAGGCAAAAATAAATTAAGGCTAAAATAAAAAGAATCGAAGATGCATATGAGTGAACATGACAAAACAGGCAAGAAGAAATGGACATCACAAGAAAAAGATCAATAAACACTGGCACAAGACTAGGGAAATTTGGGTATAAATACAGGGGCTGCGAGCCTTGTTTTTCATAGCATCCTAGGGGAGCATAATCGATGAACTGTGTTGCTACTTGTCATGGGCAAGTTTCACAAGGTGGGTGGACTGTTAAGCAGACCAGCTGGTGTACTGTCCAAGTGACAATAGATCTCTAAGCTTCCTCCACTGAACATAAATGTAAATCGTTCTTAGTGAATTGCATCCCAGGCTCCAGGGGGCTGCTTGAAGACAACAACTTCTTAAAGCACACAAATCCAAGCAGCCTAAATACGGAAAGTGACAGTAAGCAAAGTCCCACCCAAACACCCCCATGCCTCAAAATTCCACTGGTGACTCCAATGTGACTCAAACATGCACCTTTTAGAGAACCCAGACTCCAGCAGCATAAGCACCAAAAGTGACAGTAAGCAAGAGGAAGCAAACACCACAACAGAGAACACTGTACAAAGGGGCTTATATGAATCCGCACTCCATTCCACAGTTTAGTCAAGCCCATTAAGCTGCACATTAAGTGCTGGCATTCGTTTAAAATCCAGAATACCCAACTCATAGGGTAGAAAACTAACTGACTGGTAGCAGCAGCAGCAATATCCACTGTTTCCACACTAGGTTGGTGGTCAGACCACTTGCCCAGGAAATAAGACTTAGGTTCAAGATCCTCTTTGGGAAGGGAGTCTGTGGCAAAGTGGGGCTCCCCGCCTAGCCACAGTGCTAGGTTTCCCACATATAAGATGTTAATTATAGTGGGAGGCTGCCCATTCTTGCCCCAATGCCAGGGGGCGTTATCTGCAGCTCCGTACCTCCCTTACACCACAGCCCATGCCTCGCAGATGGCATTCAGCTGTTGATCTCACCAGCCCCACACTGGGCCCCAGAATCCTCCAATCGGGACCCCTATACAATCCCTCCATTCAGGTGGCCTACCTCACCTTCATTCAGGCTGTCTGGCTCCCTGAAACCATTTCGCCTTTTGGGCGTGATCCCCCGGGACCTTTGGCCACACAGGCCCTGGCCTCACCTCCAAGGACAGTCGGGACCCCGGGCTCTCAGCTCTGGACACCCCTCGTGGTGGGCCCCTGGCCCTTTTGACCTTTCTGGTTCTGGCCCCAACATTGACCAGTCAAGGGTATTCTACCTCAGGCCTCTGCCACTAGCCCCTTAACTCTCTTGGGTCTGCCTTCTGATCCCTACTAGGGGGTAACTCCCAGGTTGAGGGAGCTGGGGTGACTCACACCATGACTGGTGTTCCAGGGTCTCATGGGGACTCTCGCTCCCTTCCTGGAGCAGCATGTCAGTGTGCTCTCTCTATATAAACGTATTGGGCTCTCAGCCCTCTGGTTTTCCTCCCCCTTCACTGGGGTTCCTTATCTCTACCCCCTCACTTGGGGCTCCACGGAGTCAAACCCATATCTCACTTGCCATGGTTACAGAATAGGCTGGGTAGGGAAACCATCCATCCCTTTTGTTGAAGAAAGGCTAGAGCAATACACAACAGGCAGCTGAAATCACTGCTGTAAGTATGACTTAGATATGCCTGAAATGTTAGATATCCCTGTAATAGCAGGGATGAAGGCAGAGGTTAGGTGCCCTAATCTGGAACACAATGGAGATCAGACAGGAGGTAGTGATCAAAATGGATTGCTTCTGAGCAAAGACAAAAGCTTAAATCTAGGTGCTTAGATTACTCCATAGTGAAAAATGGAGGATCTGATGAAAACAGGCACCAAAATGTGATTTATGTCTGTTGGAACAGGGTTTATCCCGATTACCTTCTGGGATTAAGCGCCTAAATTCTGCCTAAATCCTGCGTAGGTGCCTATGGAACCAATTCTGGATCTGAAACTAAGAGAATGTTTTGTGTAACTTAGGCGATTAGCAGACATTGTGATTGTATATTGTGAACAAGTACTTTCAATATAATGATTTTCTTTTATTCATTACTAGTTCTCACCTGAAAATTGTGACTAACCCCCACCTCCAATGAATACGAACATTCCTTAAAGTTTCCTTGACATAGATAGATCTGGGCCATTAGAAGATGGACATCTGCTGAGGTAGGATCTAAATCCAGACAGCGTTGCAGTGTACCTTGTGCATTTTCTAATTCTCCTGCAAAACAAATGACCATTTTTAATTGCCCTTGACTTGCATATCTTCAGGACAGTCTCAAATAAGCAACACAAATATTCTAGTAATGTAAAAATAGACACATGTGTTGTGATGCTGTCAGTGTTTGGTATGTGAAAAAGCCACAGCCTATACACCTAAAAAGTATATAATTCCTAAGAAAGCCTGATTAAAATTAAACAATGTGATGTACAGAAAATGTTCAGTGTCACCATGTCAAATGTATTCTGTAGGACTCTTCAGCATTCTGACTGTAATTTTTACTGAATATACAGATATGGTAAGTACTTCCCTTCTCTGTTTTGTTCTCAGACTGGTAGAGGGTCATCAGTCAGACAAGCCCCCTCATCCAAAGAAATGAGAAGTTACTTGCTAAAAATTAGAGTCCTTCACAACTTGTGAATTGCATAAATGCCCAAGGCTCTTGACTGAAGACTCTAGCCTTTATAGTATATATAGAACACACTTAAAGCTCTTCTTTTTCTTTTGCCCCACACTAAGGGAAGAAAAGATGATGCAGTTTCTGTTCTTCAGTTTTAGCTATTGCTTGTAATTCAAACAAAGGGCGGATGAAGGTGTGCGTATGGACAATACATCTTGAAAAACTCCAATTTCTGGTATCTTCTCTTTTTCCCTTGCAGTGATTGCCCATGTATGCATCCCCACAGTGGCTGCCATCTCAGCAGTGCATACATACTGGGAGCTGGATCTTGGCATTTCACAGGGGAACCTAAAATTATCACAGGCAGATAAACAGCCCTAAGAAAGGCCAAGGATATTTGAGCTCAGAAGGCACGAGGCTTGGAAAAGAACATGTTTTTTTTCTGGCTAAAGGTGGAATGCAGTAGCCACTTCTGGCAAAACTCTGAATGAATCTTTATGACAACTTGTCTGGGTAAAAGACTGTATAGGAAGGATAATGGTTTGGATCTCACCTATCTTTCTTACCAAAGTAATTGTCAAGTAAGTTATTCCCTTGGAAAGGTGAAACAGAGAACATGTTGCCATGGGCTCAAACCAGTGACTATTATGTTATTTTCTCATTAAGGAATCTTGAGATTGCTGGGTGAAAAAAACAAGTGCCAGGGGTCTTTACACCAAAAGAGGAAAGACTGGACTAGGTGGGGGATCTTCTCTCTTGCTTATTGGATGTTTTCCCAGGCTATATATAGTTTGCCACCAGAACTGCATACATCTCAAATGAAGTCTGGCATGCCCTGTCATAAAAGTAGGCATAAGCATAAGCAAAAGGCAGGGATTTCTTTGGATGATATCTTTTATTGGACCAACGGCATAGTTTGGATAGAGTTAGGCAAGCTTCCAAATGCAAGACATTTTTCATAAGGTTTTCCTTATGAACCTTATGAGGTTATGTCCTTGTGGACATAAGGAAATACGCATCTTTTAATCAAGAGGGGCAAAGTAGTCCCCTTCCTGCT